ATGTCGCTTATGCTTGAGACTTTTTTTATGCAAAACTGTAATTGTCTCCTGGAAACGACAAAGCTAACATAAAGAGAAGAAATTTTGTCGTGAAACATGACATATATTTTTCTCTCCAACTAGAATTAACAAAAGTGCACCATTAATGGCAGCATAGAGACCCAAGCAGTGAGTCGGCACACCTAGCTTGTCTGGTCCATTTGTTAAATAAACTATAAAAAATTAAAAACCAAGTCAGGCTGTGGAGTAATTCGCATAAAGTGCCAAAAAATTGGTGTCTGTAGCTAAACAATACACAAGCAAAAAGCGCACATGTAAGGTCCATATTATCAAAAGTGTCGAACGCAAATTTATGAAATTGCAAAATAATGGTAAACTGTCTCTTTCTCTCTGTATTTCACATAAGCGTGCGCATATATTTTGAATAAAATATAAAGCATAGAGTTAAGAATTAGTATTTTATAACTTAAACTAGAAAAAGTTTGATGTGTATAATTGCTCAGTACAGGAGGTGTGAAATATATCAAAAAATTGGATAACATTAAATATAAGTCAACTATTAACTTAAGATTTTTAAACTAAAACATTTTTTTTTCATATATATAATAAATAATTTGAGTCGAGAACATATATGATTAGAGGTGTTATATAGCTAGTAACAATCTCTTTTAACACATTCTTTATTCATATGTGAATGTTTTATATAAATATCATTAAATAATTTGAGTCCATTCTCATTTTAGGTACTTTTACAAGAAATTCAACTAATAATAAATCTCCACATACAAATAGTCAAATACAATAGGTCCCTTGCTTGTAAAATAAAGGGAAAAGGAAAGAAAGGACCATTTATTCCTCGTGTCATTTTTAGTAACGGGGACGCATGGGAAGGGAAAAGGGAAGACAAGAGTGGAGTCACCAGGCTAGAAAGCTAAAACCAATCAATTTCATTTTGGCTTCCACACACCACGCTTGGCCCCCAAATTTCCTCTCACATGGTATTATGAAAACAGAAAAGAGACACAAGATTAAGTGCTGCTGTGGGGGTCTATTATACTTTTAAGGAAAATATTTTTTGGATATGAATTATCTTATGTCAGTGAAACAAAATTATAAGAGGGATCTATAAATAATTTGGAGAGAAAAAAAAAAAGATGTGAGATCCACCTTTGTTATACGTGTGTAAGAATTTGGCTTATCTCATGTTAAACGAGATAAATATATATAACCCTAGTTTTAATCCCACAAAATCATTTGTTTTCTTTTATTTTAGAGAAGTAGGACCTTATAATTGAGAAAAAGGGAAAACATATACTGCTATATATACTTATTGTGCATGAAAATATATAGGGAAAATTATTTATGCTTCAAAAGCAGAATTTTTTTTATAATTAGTGATTATTTTCTTTTTTTTTCTCTCTCTTGTTTTTGTTTCAGATGGGATGATTTCTGCCATAACTGCAGAAATAATTCTCCCAAGAGTGAGGATATTCTAACTACCAAAATTTCTTACTACTAACTTACTATCCATCACATGACCATTGGATCAAAGAGAGAGAATGTTAAAAAGTTTTTGAAGAGAGAGAAAATGTTAATCTAATGGTGATTAGATAGTAAGTTGGTAGTGAAAAATTTTGGTAGTGAGAATATCCTTCCTCTTCCCCCAAATATATACTTACATACAATAGTTGTTAAACAGTTGTCTATTTAAAGATTTATGGTCTTTATACAAAAAAAAAAAAAAGATTTATGGTCCAAAATCTAATAGGCTAATTATTAGGTGATGGCGGATTGGTGTGTTATGGTGGTACGGAAATCTCCATCCCGAATTTTCTTCTCTCAATCACAGAAAGCAAGTTTATCGCACCCATAAATAAAAAAAAGACACCCAATTATTCGCATATAATTTTTCAGCTATGGTTGCCTCATCGTGCTTAAGTACTTGTGTCCACAAAGAAAAAGAAACCCAAAAAAATATAGAAGGGATTAAGGAAAATGTGAATGGAACAAAAAATCACATAGAAAGCAGGGCAAGGATACATTATTGCATTGGTTGTGTCAGAATCCACATACATGGTTGCATTAGATTAAACATTTTAGTTGGTGACTAAAAAATCCAAGCATCACTTCAAACTAATTATTAATGGGAATAATCACTAATGATAGAAATAAAAAATTGCAATCATTTATATTAAAAAGCATATGAATCAAATTCTAACTGAGTATAAATTAAATAAAAAAACTATAAGACTACCCCGTTAAGTTGGTACATGGAGATTCTGAATACCCAACTTGATCAATATGTAGGAATTGATCGCTGCTTAATGCTTATTTACATGGCAATCTTGATGAGAAAGTATACATGCTTCCTCCTCGATATAGTTACAAGGGGGAGAACCTTGTTTGTTATCTTCATAGATTATTAGATGCTTTTAAACACACTTCACGCCAATGGTTTTCTAAATATTCGGAGGCTTTGTGTGCTTATTGCTTCTATCATCCTCATGTGGATCATTCACTATTTATCCTATGATTTTGTATCCATGCATGGTGATCGTTATTCTATTATATGTTGATAACCAGTTTCAATTCTTCATTACTACGTGAAGTTCAAAATATATTACACCAATAGTTATAATTATAAATTTTTTTATATTGGTCAGATGTAGATACTACGGTTGTATATTAGATTTTTTCGTGGTCAACTCATCTCTAGTTTTACAAGCACCCGTATCAATTTGAAGTTAATCTGTTGGAAATCAACACACACAAATTGCACAAATTGAGGAAAGAAAAAGGGAAGAAAAAATCGATACAGAGATTTAACCTGGTTCATCCAGTGTAGGCTATGTTTAACTTATCTGTACTATATTCACTTCACCGTTATTTGTTACAAGTAACTCGGTTTAAAATGAATATAAATATAATTTAAAAAATCCTAACAACAAGACCCAAGTCTAAATTACTAAGAAAATAATAAAATTACAATGAATAAGATGCCCACAACAATAAACTCTATGCTGATCCCGCCAACAAAAGTACTCATCTGAATACGAAGCCTGAGCAATATCTAATATAATCCACATATTTCATAGTACTAGCAAGACATGAGGCACAGAGTGAACATTTAAGTCAATTCATATACACCACGACACCCATATCTTGGTGTTGCTTGTCGCTTATCGCTTATCGCGATACCTCAAATTAATCTCAAGCCAAGGTCTATATTTCTCTTTCGCTACTAACTTAAACCTTCAACTCTATTGTGATTCGCACAAGCTGCCGCAAGACTTGTCGATCCAAAACAAAATATTACATCCTACTTGGATGCAACCTTCTCTCCTAGAAGGCAAAGAAGCAATAAACAATTTCTTGATGCTTTACCAATGTCAAATATCGTGCCATTGTGAGCTCATATGGTTGATATATCTACTCTTGAACATTGGTCCGCTTCATCAATGAGTACATTTATATTGTGACAATCAAGATGCAGTCAACATCATTGGTATTACGGAATATCATAATTGGACTAAACGCATCAAATTAAATTGATTACCACCTCAATCGTGAATAATAATAATAAGGCCTTATTGCACTGACCAAAATGTTCTCTAAGTATCAAATTGTCAATTTATTCAGCAAGCTAGGCACTGAAAAGCAATTAATTTCGCTACTATTCAGGTTGTGTTTGGAATCTCTATGCACAAACTATGGGGGGAGTTTTATGTTTCATAACTTGATTTGCATAATGACAATTTTTTTCAGTGGTAATGGCAGCAACAAATGGCGTTGAAAGATAAACAAGTAAGATAAAGTGTTTAGGTTGAGACCATACTAACATAGATCTGGGAATAACTCCAGAAATTCTATCTATATAAAATTTACAATCACTAATTGTAAAAATAGGAAATTATAATTCTTGATATTGAAAAACATATAAATCAAATCTTAATTAATCACCAATCAAATCATGAAATATAAAATTAATAATATTATATTTATGTGAAACAGAGTTGACGAGAGAAACATGTGGTCAACCGTTGAGTAGGGGTGTTCGCGGTCTGGATTGGATCGGTTTTGGAAACAAAAATCATTCAATCCAATTCTTTCGGTTTGATCATGTAATCATCCATTCGGTTTGGATTTTTTTTAAATCCGATCCGATCCAATCAAATTTTTTCGATTTGGATTGGATTTGTTTTCGATTTTTTGAAGATCCTAAAATTTATTTCATGATTATTGTGCAAATAAAATCTTTTGTATATATTGGCTTTGTAAATTTTTTTAATACAAAAATATCAGTAAACGATAATATATATATATATATATATATTGTGGACAATGAGATATGAAGCTCTACATAGATGGAATTTTGTTGATGAGATGTGACTAGATTTTTTCTTGGGTTTAGTTGATGGGTTAATGAGTCTTGGGTTTAGAAATTGTTGGACTATGATAGGAAAAAACTCAAGTAGGTAGAGAAAAATTAATATATTAGATCGATTTGAACTGGATCGATTTTTATTTACCAATCCGAAAACTCATCCAATCCATTTAAAATTTGCGATTTTTTTTTGTTTTTGATTTATTCGGTTATCGATTATTCGGTTCGGTCACCGCAGTTTGAATCAGTTTGGATCGGTTGATAAACACCCCTACCGTTGAGCATAAAATGAAAAAGAAAAAGTACTTGAATTATCATTTAGAAGCAGATTATATTTATAAACTTTTTGTTTATAAATTATTCTATCTATTATCTGTAGTGGATACTATTTAAGTATGTACTATCAATAATATATAGTGTAATTTATAAAAGTTTCTAAACAAAGTTTATAAATATAATGTACCCCAACATTTAGATATGTACACTATTTAAACTGGCCCTGAACCTGAACCATCATAGATACACAAGAGGTGCAACCAAGAAAGAAACTTGACAGAAAGTTAAGGCACCATACATAATAAATATGGCCTACATCGCTGTGGTTGGTGCCAGCAGAATGAACAATGGCGTCACCACAGTGGATTGCCACAAACAAGTTCGATCATGGAGGATGCTTCGTTATCTCAAGGAACTACTAATTCCCACTTGCAATCGCACCTTCCTAGAAGAAGACCAACATACCAATTCAGAAAAGTGTCTCCAAAACTACAACAAGTATCAATCACTCATAACATCTAGCACCGTCACAGGCACTATCTTTGGTAATCGCAGGGGAAAGGTGCGTTTTTGCATCCAGGGGAACACAAACTCCACCAACCCAATTCTCCTACTAGAACTATCTATTCCCACAAGCATTTTAGCAAAGGAAATGAGAGAAGGAACACTCAGAATAGTGTTAGAAAGTGGAACCACCCCAGGATCTTGCAGTTGCAGCAACCTGTTTTCAACACCTCTGTGGAGTATGTATTGCAATGGGAGGAAGGTGGGGTATGCTGTTAAACGCAGGCCTTCAAATGCTGATTTTGAAGCTCTAAGATTGATGCGTTATGTTGCTGTTGGTATTGGAGTTATAAATGGGAAGGATATCCATCAAGAAGAAGACGAGGTTATGTATCTTAGAGCAAACTTTCAAAGGGTTCGTGGCTCCTCAAAGTCCAATTGTGAATCTTTCCATTTGATTGACCCTGAAGGAAGCATTGGTCAAGAGCTTAGTATTTTCTTTTTTCGGTCAACGTGATATCGACCTTGTTTATTCAAAGCAGTTTCAGCTTTTAACTTACCTTCTTTTTGAGCTGTGCCTATTATGGTCAACTAGAGTTAACACAGCATGCATGGCATGACTTTATTATCCTATGCTGTTTAATTTTAATTCCTTTTTCAAAATGGTATACTTACTGCCTCTTTTTCTTACTATCAGATCTTAGCCGTTGATTTCTGCTAATCTAACGGTTATAATTTATTAAAAATTAATAATGAATTAATAAAGTAAATATCTTTTTTGGTCCTTAATAAAAAAACACAGTCCCCACTTTAGTCCCTTAAAAAAAAATTAATCTCAAGGTTCCTAAGAAATTCAAAGTGAATTTAGTGTAAATTTGGTTCATCATAAATTCAAAAAAGACCCATATTAGTCCCTCAAAATGACTAAAATAAGTCAATTTTGAATCTCACAGGAACCAACTGACTAATTTTTTTTTTTGTAAAGGACTAAAATGGGGATCATATTTTTTGTTAGGGACTCAAAATGGTATTTATTCTAATTAATAAGTATGACTCAATAAATTATAAACGTTAGATTGACGAAAATCAATGGTTAAGATTTAGTAGTAAAAATAATAAGAAAAAGAGATAATAAGTATAAATTTCCTCTATAACTTTCCTCTTCAAAATGTAATATTATTTTTTTCTTGGTTGTGTTAGACAGGACAAGCTACCGACCCAATTAACTAACTTGGATTAAAGATGCTGTTGATGTGTTAAACAGGACCTATGAGTATGACAATTTGGGAGAGAGCAGAAATCAAGAATTGTCTTCTACTTACCAATACCAATCTTCCTCGTGTTCTAGCTCGTATTTTTCTCTGTTACTGTCGTTTTCATTTTACTTTTTCCCCAAGAAACAAAGTATTGAATCATCTTGGCACGCTGTATTAAAAGTATTGACAACGAGCAATGGGATGAGTTTAAAAATGATTGGTGGATGTCCCTTTTAGCCTGAGCTAGCTTTTCGATCCACTGCTATTTAACTTTGTATGCCACCAAATTCTTTTATGAATTATGATACATTGGAAAGTTGTTATTAACTTTGAAGTTTTTGTTATTATGATATGATTAAGGTCCAAAGATAGATACGTGTCAACCTTTTCATGCTCTAGCTTAAAAGTTATAGCCGGGCAATTTTTTCAAAATCGAATTTAATACAATATCATGTGTACGATATTTGCGAGGATCTAACGACGTTTTAATAATTGTTACGTATATTTGACAGTTCATAATATTCTCCTTGTTGGTTATTAGTTATTACTATTAAGCAATCTTTGTACCTACGCATACAGCTTTAGCAATTCATATTTAAATTAGAAGCTGAAAGATATCGAGTAGAGAATAAAATTCTAGAGACCACGATGATTAATTTATATAATTCTCATTCCTCATTAATATTTGAAAGATGTTGATTTTATATTGGAAGGTAATATTGAGAGCTAAGGGTGAGTGGAATACTTTTTTTTCAAAGAAGCCGATGTGGGGCATTCTTCAAAAATGGGTATCTAATTGTATGCATGAGTTGTTACATATTCCTCATGTAATACTAGCTACAAGTCAAGTGTGTGTGTGTTTGTTTTTGTTTTTGTTTTTTTTTTTGTTTTATGGCATACTGCAAGAGCGACAGTACTATCTCGACTCAGCCCAACTTCGGGCTATTTTTTAAACCCAGTTAGGCCCATATGGGCCGGAAGGGCCAGCCTATCCAGTTTCACAATACTAGCTCTGTATGCCGTCCATGTAAATTTTCGTGGACAAGAGACTTTACATTATAATTTAAGGCCCGTTTGTTTATTTTTCTTTAAAATATTTTAAATTAAAAGGTTGTTTAATTTTTTTTTATAACAAATAGATAAAACTTTCCCAAAAACTAAATAAATTAATTTTAATGTTTTTATTAGAATTTTAAAAAAAGTTTCTAAAAGAAATTATAAATATATTATAAAACACTTATTGCAAAGCTTATAACAAATGAACTCTTACTTCTAAGTTTTGTTTGGAGGAAATGCTGCTACGAAAATTATCATGATATCCACATTATGCAGAAATTTTGCTTTTTGCATGTTGACAGTATATATATAAGAAGCAGTGCATATCCAAAATTATTGCTTTCTATAATTTCTATCAACATGAAGTCATGAACAACATGACAAATTAAATTAATTTATTTAAAAAAACAAGAAACAGCTGCATCAAATATGCTTTCAGTATAGGTAAAAATTGTGTCACAAAAAGGGAAGAAGACAAAACCAGGTGCACGCCAATGCTAACAGTCCTAAAGTATTGAAGTTCTGTTTGCTAGGTGAGTTACCTGCAAAAATAAATAGATTCATCAAAAAATTTTAAATAGCACGTGCTTATGCTATTATGTGCTACCAAATCTACATTGTTTACCTAATTGAAGATAATTGTTCCTAATGTTCCATTCAAAATCCCAGTGCTCCCTGTCATTTTTGAGGGTCCAATAACACCATCCAAAGGAAGCTGCATTATAGACTTCTAACTGTGCCCTTCCAAAGTCCTGATAATCTTTTTGGGATCCACTTGTCACGTTCCACTCATTCACCCACTCTCCTGAAATCATACAAAGGTTATTCATGCATACAAGGATTTTTTTTTTGGAAATATTTCAATTGGTTCATTGCTTCGCAACTAATCCGATTCGGGGCCGGTTCAGGATTAAGGCTTTAAACTCCTCCCAAAGGTGGTATTGGGGAGATTCGAACACATGCTCTCATCCCTACCTGCTTAGCTCCCATGCGCCAACTGAGCTATTACCATTTGGTATACAAGGATCTTCAAAGTTGAGGTTTATAACTGAGAAGCATCTAATGCACAATCAATCAAACAAACAGTAAGGAAAATTTTTCTTACCAATAAAAACAAGTGGGCCATTTGAATTGTTGAAGGCCTGAAGTTGACCTTCCCGGCTATTGTATATGTATTGTATATTATCCCCAACGCTCATATTAACAAAAAATGTGTCAAAGAGATTGTAGAAATGCAAATCCAAAACTAAGTTGTCAGATCCTATGTTGGCTTTATAAAGTTCCAAAGGATCTGCTACACCAATTCTCTGGCAGACTATCACATAAGCTGATGATGAATATTTCCGAACAATTTGGTAACCCTGCTTGTAATATGAAATTAAAGTATCTAATGAAACCGTGGCAGCAGATGGTTCATTCAAAAGCTCAATTCCCAGCAAGGCAGGATGTCTTGCATATCTGCATATTACAATGTATGTTCAGTAAGGTCAACACTAAGATTCACACAGCATTTGCTTAACCATAAAGCCAGCATCATGTAAAGAAGGTCATTGCCTCTTCCTAGTGGGAAGCAATTTTAGAAGGAAAAAAAAAATCAGCAATGATATGTTCTTTATGATGAATTTTATAAAACCACCCCCCATTAAACACCGACTAGTGATGGTGGGGTGATGACAATCCTTGTACATAGCTTTACTCTTGCATATTTGCAAAGAGACTGTTTTTTGGATTCAAACCTGTGATCTTTCAGTCACAAAGAGACTGTTTCCCGGATTCGAACCCTTACGGTACTATTTCTGTCCAGGAAGAAAAGGGACAGTCAAGAATATAGAGGTGGGAACCATTTTAAAGGAAGCTAAAAGCTGAATGATAATTCTAACTTTGGGTGAGAACCCCACTCTGGACACCATTTATATAACAAATTCAGTGTTTTGATGCTAAAAAAAGTTCCTCTAACTGTAAAAGAGCTGAATTCAATATATTTACTGATCCTAAAAAGAAGTGTATTCAGCAACTAAAATTATGGCAAGCATGAAGTTGGTTATTCAATAATAAGAACAATATCTCAATATATTTGCACACTTAAAACCTACCTAGAAACTAAAAATTCAATAACAAGTAATGACTCTGAAATGTAATCTGGTGAAGTTGGCCAGCCCGTAAATCCATCTCTGCTAGCACTATGTTCCATCCCATTTTGGGAACCAGGAGCAGCATGAAGGTCAATTATGCATCTTATATCATAGTCTCTGCAACATAATAATTAGGCAGATTGTTAGAAGTAAAAACAAAGTTTCAATCGTGCTGAAAACCTTAAAAGATTATACATTGAAAGAAAAACCTACTGTGCCCATGAAAATGCATTATCTAGAGCTTCAAGACTTCCTCCAATGAATGGACCAGGAGGATCAGGATCAAAAGCAATCCACCACCCAACTGGTATCCTCACAGTATTTATTCCATGGTTAAATAGAAATTTGAAATCATCTACGGTGATAAAGCTATTTCGATGTCTCTGCAGTTACAGAAAGCTGAACAATCAAATAGGAAACACAATCTGCTATTTCATTTTGTAAGTATTATGTATGTAATGGCTTTCACTGATGGAAAATATATTGCATAAATGAAATATAGATACTTTGGAGGAAGGGAAGTTACAGAAAAATATGTGGAGACTTATTCTCACAGAAACAACAAAAGAATGACCCCCTACCAAAAAAAAAATTACTGTAAAGACTAGTATGTTTAACACATTTTCCCATAGCTGATTTCCAATGGGATAGTCATAAAAATATTGTGTGAAAAAATAAATCATGTTCAACTAAAGCATAATTGTGCTCCTAGATGATGACACAGAAAATATTTGCAGCATATGATTTTACCCTGAGAACATCTTTTGCAAGATCATGCCCATATCCATTTGCTAGCTGGTAATCTCCATGTAAGTCATTTGCTACAATTGTCATTTCAAACGTGGCAGCATTATCATCCCATCCTGGTTCACCTGGATAGTTGGCTGTAAGCTGACCACCTGATGTTGCCTAGAAATATAGCAGTATATTCAATTATGTGAATCTGTTAAAGTTTAATGTTTATATGATTTTACACTGTAAAATAATTACTATATGCCACCTTAATTTCTATACAACGATATGATTTTACAAGAATTTCCCTCACCCCAACCCTCTGACAAGTTGGAGTTTTATGGCGAGTGGTTTTTTTATTAAAAAAAAAATCTTAAAGATCCTTAAATATAGTATGATGTCTAAGGCAGAACCAAGTAAGTAACAAAATATTGATAAATGATATATAGAGAGCCTGACATGGTGGAGTCCTTGATTAAAAACATGTTGCTTGCTGTTCAAAACACAACTATTATACTTTTTATGGTTTATTCTTCTGTTCAACATGATAACCAAAGAGTGCTGCGTAACACAGCTTCATATTTTACGAGCAACCAAATGACTTCTGGTTTAGCAGAAAAGCAGAAGGATGAATACCTGCAGAAAGTCCCCATTCTTTATCTTGATGTGAACCCTATTTTCCTCATGCCGCTGAATTTCATATGTCTCTGATGTTGAAGGTGATTTTGCTGTTGCAGAGACAGAGCAGCCTCCACCATCACATGTAAGAAATTGGCCTTGGGAGGTACGGAATTGAAATTCTGATTCAGAAACTCTCCATAACTGCAACAGAAAAAAAAAAAAGGAGAAAACTTTCAACAAAACTTCCAGTTTTCCACACATCACTCTATCAACTCCAAATCTTAAAATTCCATCAGATTTGAAGTCCTGCTAAATTACTGGTGCCTACCATATTTATTCAATTATGCATAAAACAAGACAACAAATCTCACCCTCCAAGATAATAGCACGTCAGAAGTTAGTGAAAAAGAGATGCCGACTCAGAATTACAGCCACTGGCATACAAATCTAGACTCAGATGGCCTGTATCACTATATTAGAACTGATCTAGATTCAAGAGCCTGAAAGAAACTCTTCAGTCAATCTACCTCCACCGAGACTGCGAACATTTGTCTTACAAGTATTGCATCCTAAAAGTAACTGAAAAGGAAACTATAGAGTAGAAGGTAATACAATATTATTCAAATCGCCTTTTTATTTATATTACTACATTAAAGATAATCTCTCAGACTAGACTTTCACCCTTTTGGTCTACTCTAATTCAGTCAAACTGTTAACTGCCAGAGGCCATGTATCAGCTAAGAAAAGCAAAATGAAGAGTTTCAAATGATATAGTAAAATTTATCTTCTAAGATAAGGATTTCTTAGTTGTTTTGAATCCAAAGAAGAAAATTCCATTAGGCTGTAAAGCAATGAGCACTTTTTATGATGCATTATTCCTAAGAATTTCACTTGCATAAAGCTCACTGCAGATTATATGATAAATTGATTTCACTTTCTTTCATCTGAAAATTAATCTTTGTGATTGTATCCATGTCAACGAAAGCATAATTTATTCAACTTACATTATCTAGGATGGTTTCAAAATTGTTAGTATTTAAGTGGTTCTTCAGAGTAAGCCGTGTCAATTTCTATAAAGGTTACCTTTGCCAGCACAAATCAGTACAACACAAAATACTTCCAATACAAATGATATTCAAGCTCATACATAAAAATAAATTGGCGGTGTTTTCCGCAACTAGACTGATTTATTACTAAAACAAATATGGCTTTGAATGGAATTTTAAAGTAAATGTTAACAATCATCATGTCTATTCAAAGGATATAATCAACTCAGATACTCACGAATAATAAAACCAAGATATGGATAAATTCAGAACTGGATAAGGATTAACCATTTGACATATTGTTATTATCTGCAAAATTAGATGCTAGCTAACATATAACACTGGATAGAACATTAAAAAAAGAAGAACACAATGGCCATCTTACCCTGAAGGTTTCCCATGAAGATGGGACATCCCTGTCAACTGTCACATTCATTCCTCCCCCATTCTCTGCAGATACATACTTCTGCAATGTCACTGACTTAAATTGTACCTCTGTCCCATCCTACTTTTTTTAATATCAACATACGGATCAACCAGATAAGTCATTAAAACCACAAAAGAATCAAGAATTTCAGAGAAAAATGAGGAAACAAAAATGTGAAGTTATCTCACAAGCATGTCTCCATTGGCAATGCCATCAAACAATGAAGGCTTAATCCAACCTTCAATGACCAGCCACCCTCCTAAGTTCACTCCTCTCACTTTAAAACCCCCATGTAACCCCTTCACTTGATCGAGGCGAGGCCATTCAACACAAGAAGCAAGTAAGATATTGAGTTCATGACATTGTCTTTTAAGAACGGATAAGGCATGAAACTTTGAAGTTGAAAGAATTTACCTTACCTGAATATACTCCAGAAGTGATGAGACAACAACACAGTAAGAATAATGTGCATGCCCATTTGGTAAAAACAAGTCCCATCAAGAATGTGGGCTTCAAAAGCGCCCAGAAAGCAAAAATGCAGAATCCATCATAGGAAAAAGCAAAGCCCCAATTATGTTCAAGATAGAACTCAAAGCCAAAGCACCTAAAGTACCACTTGGGGGGGAGAATCTTTGCAATTCCTTCCTTATCACTCAGTTAATACCAAAATTCAACTTTTTGAACATACATAAGAAGGTGATTGGGTTTTGGGATTGCTTCTCTCAATTCCTCAGTTAATGGAGGGAAAAAAAAAATGTACCTATATTAATGGAAGAAAAGAACAACCTCGTAAAGGGGAGGGGGCAGGGGAAGAATGAAAAGGGTAGAGGAAAAAAGCATTCACACACAGTTTGTAAACTAAAAAAAGAAACTTTGCTTGTGGGGTTCTTCAGGTATTAATTTTAATTAAATAATAAGTTGATTAATTAGGATCTTGGCTTTCATTATCATTGGAGGAGAAAAAGAAGACATAGAATAAGGAAAGACAAGGCAAAAGGTACAAGTGAAGAAAAGGACATGCTTTGTTCCTTTGCTTTATTGGGTATTGTCCTCAACACCTTATCTACATCTTCAATGGTGGATTGAACTTGTTAGCTGCAACTCTTTTCTTTTCCCTCTGGAGAAGTTTATGACTTTACGCTAATGCACGAAGCTGACGAAAATAAAAAGGTTATGTTCTTTCGGAATCTCTTGCTTTTTTGAGCCAATGAGTACGATAATTTTTTACCGCACAGGTATGATATTCTTAAAAGGCTTGAACGTGAATAAAATCATCAATTTGTTTTATAATGCAAAAAATTATTTCAACCCAAAATTTTAAAATTTTAGGTGAGAGTCTTCTAATGTTTTATATTATTCTCTGACATTATATATATAGTTTGCATAGATTAAATATTTTTTATTAATAAATGTGTTATAGTAGTAGTAATCATAAGCTAAAATCCAAGGAATCGCTTCGTGTACCAGAACGTGCTAGGCCAGGTGAGAGGTCTCACTGCCTTGTTTTGATCGTTTGGATTTATTTTTGCATGTGAAATTGCATCTGCAGGTATGAAAAACAATTATTGGTATTAGTATCATTTTCTTGCGTTATGCTCTGTTCGTTGTGTACAATCCACTGGCACGTATTTTTGGCCAAACTAAAGCTAAACAGAGAATATTGCAGAGCAAACTGGTAGGGGTACATGCAAGTTTTGAACTTTCTAGGTGCAATTCTTAGAGCCTGTTTGGATCCTCTTATTTTTAAGCTAGAAGCTACTTATAAGCTAAAGCTAAAAAAAAGAGCTTAAAAAAATAAGCTAAAAGCTGTTTGGAAATTACATAAAAGTTTTAGCTTAAAAATTACTTAAAAGCACATATTTCAAGAAAATTATCTCTTTCTATCTTTATCACTCTTTATTTTAAAAAAAAGCACACAATTCAAGAAAAACAGATAAGAGCTTAAAAAAAAGCTCCTCCTAGGAGCTTTTAATTTTCAGCTTTTTTCTTCATTATAAAAAAAAGAGCTTTTCGTTATAAGAGCTTTTCCCAAAACATGTTTGGCCTAGCTTATGCTTATAAGTAGCTTGTAGCTTAAAAAAAAGAGGATCCAAACAGGCACTTAATCTAGCTGCTTCTTCTTATTATAATTATTATGGGTTGAATGGATATGCAGGACACAAGTTGTATCTTTTTAATGACTTGTACAAAGTCTGATCAGTGAGACTTTGTGTAAATCTGAAAAATTATTTTTTTTTCACTTTACACGTCAGCGATGTGACTGGAAAGAGAAAAAAAAATAACTTTTTAGATTTATACAAAGTCTTATCGGTCAGATTTTGGATAAATTACCTAAAATAATACAAGCTTGTATGCTTTAAAAGAATACTTCTTTTTCTCAATTATTATTGGTATTTTGTGAAGGCAAGTTTTGATGTAGCTCAGCGTAAGGATTAATTTAAGGGTTTTATTAGTCTCCTTTTATATAAAATAGTTATCTTATGCTATAGAAAGAAAATAGATGGGTCTCACTATTACAACAAAAAAAATGCGGTGCGAAAATTGAAATGGAAGAACATGAGAGAAGTTATTTTATGTGAAATGAGAGTAATATTTCCTTTAATTTAACTATAAATTGTTGACTTTTATAAGTTCTTTTATCCCAAATCAATTAGAGTGTCAACTCACGATGATGATAAAAAGGGTATAAGATTTTAATTTCGGACTCATCTGGCATTCGAGATTATTCTACTCCCCTCAAAAAAAATAATTAGAGTTAGTATAAAAAAAAACTCACGATGGGAGTGTGCAGACGAAGAGAATCTCAACTCAGTATTAAATTAGGGTAGAGAACGCAATTAGCCTAAGTCGAAGACTCAATAATTAGTCAATAAATGGGAGAATAATTCGTTGCTTCAATCGTAGTATCATGAAGTATATTTTAGAATGAGGGGGTGAGAATTGAGATCCTAGTCACTTGATTAGGTAGACTCTAATACTATCGGGTGAGAATTGAGATCTAGTCACTTGATTAGGTAGACTCTAATACTATCATGTAGGTGAATAAATTTGTTACTAAACTAAGTAGTTCTGTCTATTTATTTTGTGATACGTAAACAAAAAAAATATCACATCATTTAAAAAAAACAAATGATATAATATTTATTGTCTACGTGTCACAAAATAATTGGACAGATATACTGAATCTTTGATATATTTGACACACTAAAAATTTATTCCCTGTAGACTCTGATATTATCAAGTGTCAATTAAATTATTTGGGGAAGATCATACTAATTGTTTATATTATATATTTTCTATTTTTGTGTAAATACATTGGTTATGATGGCCATATTTATAAGTAGGTGTTTGGTGGACCTCGATGGATGCATAATGACCGATGAATGATGGAACATAGTGGGTTGAAAATAATATGCATATTGAAAATAAGCATTTTATTTTTGTACAGGAAATACGGAAAGACAAATATAGAGCCCTGTTTTGTGCAAATAATTATTTATGTACCTTGAAAACTTTCATAAACTCGCACACAATAATCATCTTTCCCAACTATCTGTGGATGTCAATGCTTCTAGTTTACAAGGGAAGAGTTAAGCTCTGCTTGCAACGCCTAGAAAATATGAATTTTCTGTAATGTGAAGAAGACCTTCTCGATTTTAAAATTGTTTTTTACTTTAAAAAAAAGTAAAAAACAAAACAAACAATTATTTCTGCATGTTAATCAGACTTTATTAATCAAAATGATTACTTTACATATTAAAGTTAATCTATTTAAATCAATCATGATATAAAATTCAAATATCACATGCTAATTAGATATATAAATATCATAATAGGGTTAGGATCATTTTACACCAGTGTAAGTTATATTCTCAATCTTGATATTTGATCCCACTTATATGAGCTCTAATTTTTTAGTAATATGAGTCATTGGATACAAGTGGATCAATGCACAAGATTGAGTGTAAGACTTCTAACTCTTACACCGGTGCAAGAATATCATGCTCCATCATAATATTCACATATTTAACTGATTAATTTTTTTTCAAATTAAATAGTTACAAGTTTATTAGTAGAGCATGTTACGGCGTGATAGCACCTTTTTTCAAGTTGTGCAAAATTGCGAATTGTGTTTGCCTCAGTTTTGTTAAATCCCATCCGAGCATTAATTCGGTTGAGGTACTGGGTTATTGTATTAATGATCGGACTGATGGATCACTGGTCGGACCGGTTGACCCAGATATATATAGATATATAAAAATATATATAAATATAAATATATAAATTCAATTATATTCTCCATATCTAAAATGAAATTTCACTAAATAAGTTAAAAAACACGAAACATAAATAAATAAAAATGTATTTTATTACTATGTTAATTTAAATTGCAATTCAGAATCCTCATAAACACATCTCTCAATGATATTGAACTCGTATTTTTCAAATTCAACTACATTAAAATGACATGTCATATTCTCTAATTTATTTTTCACAAATTGTTTCAGTATTGGAAACTAAAAGATCATTGCAGAAGAGTATATTAACAAATAAAATTACAAAAAGTTTTTAAATGAGTTTTATATTTTTTTGATAAGATGAAATAATTTTGGTTTTTTTTTAAATGCATGACCCGATCGAGTTACGGGTCGTCGGGTCACCGAGTTTGGCCGATTTTGTTCGGAGTTTGACCGGGTCGATGCATGACCGGTTCCATGCTTGACTCGAACCGGTTTGATGACCGGTTCATCGAGTTCCGGGTCGACCCTGTAAGCAATTTAATCAGTAATTCATGATTCATGTTCAACAGTAATCAGTCAAGAACATGACATAGGATCTTTAGAATTCATGAGTTTCACACAAACATACCTTTGTCCATAATTGCGGAAGATCTTTAACAGTAGAATGCTTTCTCTAAGCCTTAACCCTTTCACCGTTCTTGTACCTTCTTTGATAGGGATAGGATACAACTTTTCTAGGCAGACTCAGAAGGACGTTTGTTTTCTATCAGATACCCTTATGTGAAAACTGACCATATAAACTATTATATAACTGGCCTATCACAGTTATTTCTAATTAACTTCCCTTAATGCGAAAGGTCAAAACGTCAATTACCATTAATGCGAAACGTTATCATAATGCAAAACGTTAAAACGTCAATTATCATTAATGCGAAACGTCAATTACCTTAAAGCCTCTTTTATTATTAATCAAACCAATTGACACACATCACACATGAGACACAAATAGTTTTACATTCTCCCACTTGGCTCATGTCATAAGGTGTCCCTTCATGATTTAATTAACATTAACTTTAATGCGCATTTACTAGGCTAAAGGTTCCATACATTGACGTCATCATAATTCATTATTAGAAATAAAATCAACATGAGTCATGGCGGTTGTATGCTATCAAGTGGGCATAGTCCCTTCCATGTACTACTATATTGACTCTTCTTCCTAACATGATACTTTAATAGGAAGTGTACATTATGTCCAACAATAATGTCTTCATAACGGACCATAATTATTTTCAATATCATCACATATACTTGCATGCATTCATAAAATGAAAATAAGACAATATCAGAAACATATATTCATCAATGAGCTCAGAGTGTCAACACTTAATGC